ATTAGGTACTTTTCTCCAGCTTCCTAGGAGGAGTTTTTAGGGTGAGAATGGGGAAACCTATTTTAATCCCATAAAACCCCGTACCCTTTAGTACGATCATACTGGTTCATAACATTTGCTTTTAATTTAATCAAAATCGGATGAGTTTTACTCTAGTTCATGTGCTGATGGACATACACACACATTTACATAAACTTGAATGGAAGGCGTTTTTGACCTCTGGGAATTTGAAGTTGAAAAAGTAAATCAGTCCTGGATGTGTATAAATAATGACATTTTTTTGACATCGAAATAAACAAAATTATAAGGTTTTAGCAAATTTCCTATATAGGGAATGATCTATTACCGTAGTACTCATGGTAAGACCTGGACCCGGGACCAATTTCAATACAGTACAAAATCAATAATATTCACCCTATAGATATAAATAGCAGATCAAAACACAGCTTATCTTTTGCCATTTTAACTTAACAAAGTCATTTTTCCATTTTAGTTTAAAACAAAATCCTGCAAGTGACGTCCTGTCCTTTTAATCAGTGAACAAGGTTGACACAACAGGAGGTCGTCTTTCAGGCTCTCGGAAAAGATGCTGCGGGAAAAAGTACATCAGCAATCAGCATGAGTCTTATTGATGTAGAACCTGTACTATTGTAGTTAAAATGCATCATATACATATTTGAAACAGCAAAAAAAATTATATACCGTAGTAGTAGACGCAACGATTGTGTTCAAATCAAATCAAATAGTGTTTATTTCATATTGTACATAAATCAGTACATGGAATGGCGTCAAAAACTATATCTAAAACTTAACATAAAGAAAACAAGTATAATAGAAATAAAACACTAATTTAACATATTCTTCTTTTTTTACTTACTGATAGGAAGTAGCTATTACCAGGTGGTACGGTAAGGCTTAGTGCCGAGACCGATATATTTGATAATTTTCTGCGGTGGTAATATTTACTGTAAGTTGTTTTTACACAAATTTATATTATATTTTAAAAAGATTTGCTAAAACATAGTAAAATTTTTTATCTCTTAATAACTTACACATGTTGTAAAAACAATTAAGCTCGTTAAATGAAAAAATCGTGATATTCATAAATTATTTTTTGTATAGTTTTCAGAAAAGTGTTGGAGGTAGAGACTTAGCTTTGTGATAAAACGAAAGCCAATAACATTTACTACAAAAGCAGTTATAAGAATTCTGCCATAATATGGGTATTACACAGTTTTTGTGGGTCCAACCCAGGAAAAATGTAAATTATGGTAATTACTTAAAAAATGTTTAATATTTGAAAAATCATTTCTCAAAAACTATTTGACACACAAAAATGAAACTATGCTTAAATTGTGGGAAATTTTATGTACTTTAATTATTACATTTGAGTAGTATTAAGAAAAATGCACTGTTAATAAGTTATAAACTAAAAACTTTAAAAAATACATTAATTTTGTAATATTTTACTTTTTACGCAGGGAGCACAGGGATCTCGAAGCTGCAAACTTGGTTTTGAGTTACCCTAACGGGTCCCAACAACATATTAAAAATGCAGCAACACATCACGCTTTGCGATTTTAGCCTCTTTTTATGTACGATTTGACTGGCCTATAAGTCTGAGCCGCGTTATAATAAATATTCAAATTTCCTACAAAATAAATTCAGAGAACGAAATAACTACACAGCAGTGAAATTGCCTCGCGATGTGTTCTAGCATTGACTATTGGATACAGAAGTTGTTGTATTAATAGTCAAAGGTTCTAGCCAACTTTGGCATTTGTTGGAGAACTGTAGGAATATCCCATGCACATTATTGCAACAAATGTTCAACTCAGCGAAACAGTTTTTGAGATTCAAATCCAGGTCAACATTTAGTAGACGAGTTTTAAAACAAATAATGGATTAATCAATAATTTCCCGGGCTATTTTCAAGCTGGAACTATTGTCATCTCCATAGTTTTGTCGTATAAAATTGTGGCCAGTGTTGTCTCGTCCTATAAATCACGATTCTGCAGAAAATGTGTTAAGTCGTTGAAAATGTTGATTTCAGTGTGAAGTCCTTCCTCCAACGGCGACGGTATTTTTTTCTGTTACGCTGTGGTGCACCAAAGTAATCCGTAGAGTCTTCTTGTGTTTCAGAAAAGTAGTCCAGACAGTAATTTAACCGAGCGATGGACCGCGTTGTCAACTCGGGTATAAAACACCCAGTTTCCCGCTGTATAGAAGCAATTTGCTGGGATAGAACAAAACACTCGCGGAGGAGCGAGCATAGGCGTGACGGCAACTACTCGATTGATCGTAAACTGCACAACAAATAACCGATAGTCATCGAGTACTGGCTGTCTGCTGTAACTGTTGGCATCGGATAGAAACTTGTAGTGAACTAGAAACAGTATGCAGTTGTTGTTGAAACATCGCGAAGGCACTATTGAACGCAGTCCCAATAAAGTACCTTACAACAATGTAGTCAAGTTGTGTAGGCCCACCGCAACACGGAGGTTCCCGGGGTCCAAAGGCTTACATTTTCTCAGTGAAACGTCTCGATATTGTTTCTCCTTGTATACTATCATTCACTTCAGTGGATGTTACACCTTTACAAAAACGTGGTAACATTTCTGCTCGACGTTTTCTCCCGACATAACCTGAAAGGGTAGTTGACAATAAACTATGCAGGGGGCCCAGTTGAGATTTGTTGTGCAGCTTAACTATTCTGAAGAGAATAGTTCATCAAAATTATTGTTAACATTTTAATTTGAAGAGATATTAAATATGGAGGTTGAGTATGTAAACGTTAGTTAATGTAGTTGTTGTCCGCTGTATTGTGCTGGGTGGTGGGTGGACCCGGTCGGTTGAGCGCAGACGTGGGACTCCCACAGTTCGATGACGGCAACTGGTAGCGGCAGTGGCAGTGGCACACCGACACCGGCCCTCGCCTCATTCGGCACCCCTCTTATCCGGCCGGTCATACCAGTGCCTTTTTACTACCCTCCGGCCCTTACCCGCCTTGCATTATGTGATCAGTGATCAGTGGTGCTATTAGTGTAAAATGATTGCAGTGCTATACATTTTTAATGTTTTTTTCTTCACAAAGGGAATTGTTTATTTCCTTTTCAGCTTATGTTTGTAATACATTAGACCAGATTGAGGGTTGTGTGTTGTAAAAAGCGATAAGGAGAATATAGTAAACAACTATTTCTTAAAGTAAAATTCTAATATTGTCTGTATAGCAATTGTAATGGTATATTTTCGGCTTTTCAGGTAATATTGATGAACCCTGATTTTAGGAGTAAACTTTTATAACCAGACACAAAAGCATGTTCAATTTTTTACAGTTAACAGGATTATACTGTTTTATTACATAAATTTACACTGTAATATAAATTATCTGTAGGTACATGAAGAATTTACTAAGTTGTAGGCCTAACACAATATGGGAATAGATCTACTCCATTGTCCGTGGTTTTAAGATTTTTATTTTTTTTTATGTGACGATAATAATAATAATTAATAATTCTTCTGACTAAAAATAGTTCTTCAGGCATTTGTGTTCTTGGATATTGTATGTGTATTCGTTATTTTTTTTTTAATTTTTACTTTGTATTTACACTAAAAAGTGTATTTACACTAAAAAAGTTTATTTACACAAAACAGTGTAAAAGGAGTAAAAGCGTATTTACCCTTTTAGGACTGATAAATCTATTTTGTTCACACCTATATAGTCAATGCTGGTAGGTAAGGATTGAAAGTGATATTGCCGCAAACCCTAGGTAGCCTGAAGTAAGGTGAAAAATAATCACAAATTTAGCTCGTGAAAAGTAACTGGGTACTCGATATTAAATTTTTTTTTGGCCCCATGTTGTATTGAGGTTGAACTTTTGTTTGTAGAATTATTTTTAAATCAAACTACAACTTTAAACATGATTGAATTACAGTAAATTAAGTGAAGTTCGCACCTTTCCCTCACAAAAGTGTGATTTGGATTTTATTTTGTCAAATGCCAAGTCTGATTATTTTTATGTCTTAAAATGTATTAAAAGATATATTACAATTTTTCTCTTTTAAAATACAGTAACAAACTGAACATATGGCTTGGACCGAGAAAAATAGGGAAATTCTTCTTATATATAGAATATTAATTAGCATTGACTATATCAGAATGTTTTGTGTATAGTCAATGATTTTGTGTAGTTAGCCTATATATTTGTTGTGTTCCTTGGGGCAGAGAAATTGTGTTTTATAGAATTTAGCATAAAATTAAAGTAGCCTAAATGAATCATCTACGTTGTGAACAATGGTCACTATAGTATATCACGTCTTAGTAAAATGGGTTTAAATTCTTTAGCTTCCACGGTATCAACTTTGTTTATCGGTAAACTCTTGCAACTGCTATATTGAAAATTTCCAATGACAGCTGATCTGAGTTATATACAAGTGACTCAGTAAGGATATAAAAAGGACCAGTGTGTAGTGGTGATGTGCGTGTGTGAGATCGCAATGTCGCGGCCGCGTCCCGGCACCAACAAACTGAGACACCAGGATTGTTACGAATCGTCCTCCCCTGGTAGTTCAGGCTCCAGCTCCCCAGTGTTGCGACGAGCCAGGACAGTCAACTCTGCCACACAAGCACCCTCGCCTCTGCCCTTCGTATCAAGGTTACCATTGTTGTGAATATTTAGTAATTCAATACTTAAAGTAATACAGGTTTAGGTTAGGCTACCTATTTGCTGTAAACGATCGTTGGTAGTACGACGACTATAGATGTTTGGTGCTTTTAAAAAAGTAGTACATCTTCCGGTTGAGAATGTCTTGCTCCCCAATAATCTCTCATGTGGAGTTCATCAACGATTTTCAAATAAGACGGGAAACACACACGACAACACATTTGAATAACTGGTCGACCAGACGCTGATTGATCTTGAGACGTAAACAGAGATCAGTTATTTTTTTATTACTGATCCATTTGTTGGTGTTTTCAATGTTTCTGTGTCCTGTTGTAGGCTTATGAATGGGGTCCGAGCGACACGTCAGTTAAGAGCTCGTGTTGGCAGCAGTGGGAGTGGAGCAGACTCGCCACGATCTCTGGACACCCCGCGCTCAGCTCTGCGCTCTCTGTCAGCACTCTCTAGCCCTCTGCGCTCATCTAGACAGGTAAAATAAGAGTTCTCATAGTGCTGGTGCAATCTTAGGAGGGTTTTATAGGGTTATCAAATTTGGCCTCAGCAGCCGGATTGTGAATGCGAGTCTGCAATGACTGTTTCTTACTGAATTTGGTCGCTTAGAAAATACATTTACCTGGCCCTTATATGTTAAGTTGAGGCCAAAAAACACAGCCATACTCAACAGCTTGGTAAACTGGTTATAAAAAGTCGGGGCTGGAGGCTTATTATTTTTAAGCTATATTAATAAATACTGCTTTTTAACAAGTATGACATTTCACATAGTAACTTAACAATAAAACTAAGGTTTGTTTTTCTTACGATATATATATGAAAATGCCTACGGCATTGCAATGAAATAAGTTTTTTATCTCATGTTAGATAGTTTAGTCCAATGACTTTTGAATACTAAAGTAGTCATCTCATCATCTGTACGGACCAGCTTTGTTTTATTGAAAAAGAAAGTATTTCTGTGATCCTCTCATAGATTGCGCTAGAGTAAAAAATTTAAATTTTCACCCTTATTTTTTGTTACCGAGATAGTTGATGGGACATAACAGATGCTATAGCTTACGTTAATTCATCCTATCAGCTTGGCATGGTTGAATAACACACTTATTTGTCAGAACATGGCAACTACAATGACTTAATCATTGTGGTGGGGGGAGTCAAAAATGTTGTCTCAACAGTTATGTAGATATTTTGCAACATTTGGCTTAGTGTTTGTAAAAATAATTAACTGAATGTAGGTTGGTAGCATATAAATTAGATCATAATCCTAATGAAAAATTCATCTAATGAGAGATTTTAAGGTTCATGTTATTGGTCTGTAGTTGTGCAGTATTTGAGTTGGTGTTGTTGCAGGGTACCAGTTCACCTGGTGAAGATCTCAGTGAAGACTCTGGTATCAGAGTACAGAGAGTCACGTATCAGTCCATGTACCAAGACGTCATCAACATCAAAGCGCTGCTGCTCAAACTGTCCAGAGTTATGCAAGAGGTAAAAAAAAAACTTCTCCTTAAATTATTTGTCCCCGCTATCATAGATAAAACATAATCCCTTAGTAGATTTCCCATCCTTATGGAACAGCTGAAGCCAATTGTATTGTTAGTTCTGTCCGGTTTTCTGTAGATGTTGTGTTTTGTTTACAATTTGTTTCTTGTTATTTTAGTAATTTGAAACCTCGTTTAACCAAATAAAACTATCTAATCATAAACAATTACTCGTCCACTAGCTATATAACCAAACAGCGAGACACAAATAATGAGAAACTAACCCTAAAATAATAGAAACAAATTGTAAACAAAACACGACATCTACAGAAAACCGGACAGAACCAACAATAAAATTGGCTTCAGCTGTTCCATAAGGATGGAAAATCTACTAAGGGACTATGTCTTATCCATGCTGCTATTAAATGGACTAATTTAATTCCTTTAGAAAAGAACATACATTTTAAGCTTAGCCAAACTCTACAAAGTAAGATGACTCTACTACGGAGTTTATAGGGTTGGATAAGATTGTAAACCATGAGTTGAAATGTAATTTAGTGGCCTGACAGAAGCTGAGTTCAAAAAATACTTGAAAATGGTTGGAGATGTTATTCCTCTTAAGTCTTCATGGGAGGTCCAGGGACAGCAACCTGCATTGTTCTGTATCTGAGAAATTTATTCTTAAAACTCTTGAACATGACCTTGGAAAGTGCCCAGTAGTCTTCTACGGAATACCTGCCACCATAAGATCAGAAAAATCAATTCAGAAATAAAAGTTATGAGGTCTATGAAGAGGTCACAGCTATAGAAGAAGAGGGCTCTGTGAGGCAGAATGACATTATTGTTATAGACAAGGGGAGAGATTACGGTCGCATTATTTACCCCAACAATTTGTCTCAATACAAAAGAAAGTCAGCCAAAGGAAGTTCATGAAGAAAAAAGTGAAGATATGTAAGAAAACTACCCTATTATTCGGAAAAATATGAAGTATCAAAATTGGAAGTTTATGGATTACCGGTACTCATTGGTTCAAGAGGAACAATTACTAAACAAGTCCAGCAATTTTGGAAGAAATTAAATTTGGAAAATCAAGTGTTGTATCTAATATCTTTGAGAGTCATAAAATTTTATATTAACATTATAAGAAACCCCCTTAATAACAATAATCATAATTAGGTTTGAATAAACTTGTACCATTTTTATTTTATATTATTCTTTGTTCTACAATCTACAAGAGACTACAATGTGTAGTAATATGTCAATTCTTAAAATAAATTTTTATTTATATATAGAAAATTAAAATTAGAATATAATAAAACAGATACTTCTAGCAATGGGATTTGTCCACTAAATGTAAAACTACTCTATTTTGCTACCATGCTGATTTTCTTCTAAGTATTAAATGAGCTAACTATAAAGACTTAAAGTGATTATAGTTTATTTTTCAGAATGAGAATGAAAGTGCCAATGAAACAACACAAAAGGTAAGCTTATACAGAAATCTGTTTACGTACAGTAAACATTCTAGTGAATAATTAGATTTGATTGTAATAATTAAATTCCATTAGTTCTATTCATTATTAAGATTTACACACTTATAAATATTTAATTTATGGTTTCAAAGTTTCAAAAAGTGTTTTGAAACTCCCTACCAATGATTTTAGTCATTGTTCTAAGCCGAATCCTATAAATATCACAATTAAAATATCACAAAGGAACCTGTTGATCACAGAGCTGTTCCCCAACTTGTTAAAATCTGTCCTTATTTGTCCACTGTCCACTGTCCACTGTCCCTTATTTTAAAAAGCTAGGTTTATATTATTTGACTAAACTACATTTAAGTACTGGTACTATTGAATTTAACCCCCTAAGGCCACACTCATCTTATCTCGTTGAATTTTTTCCTCGGGCGTTACCCGTGGATTTGAGATATACATTACAGTATATGAGGAGGCCATAAAAACGTCCGTGAACGCGTTTGTCAGTCTCGCTGGTGAAACCAACAGTCTCGCGAGACTGACAAACGGAATTGCACGTGTATTCTCTACTAACATTCTACGGGCGTTGCATGTAAAACTAGCCGAGGGGCATTGCGGCTTATAGGAGTGAACACACTCATCTTATCTCGCTGAATTTTTCCACGGACGTTTCTAGTTTTAACCTGACTGATTTAATGTACAGTGAGCGTGGAGGGGGGAGTGCGGGTCACGGACACGGACAATTTTTAATGCCAGTGTGGCATGCTCTATCAGTTTTGCTGGTTAGCATCTCGTAAGACGAGTGTGGCCACAGTCAAACTGTTCCACGTGCGTCGCACGTGAAAACGGAATGACCAATCTCGCTGGTTAAAAATTATAACTATGGCCCCGGCCTAAGAAGGGCTCTGAAAAAAATATGGAGCAATAATGAAGTAGACTTGGTGTAAAATAAAACTCTTTATGATGAAATCCAGAAAGATGTAATCTTATAATGTTTTCTTACAAGTATTTTTCCCTTAACATCATAAAAGTATAAAAATTCAATTCCAGTTTTTATGCAATACCTAACTTTTTTATGATTAATAGTTGCTAAGACATCTAGCTGAAATGTAAACCATATTTTATGTTGTCTCTATAATGGCATAATAAGAAAATAAATTAGTTGAATTTAATACATGCACATCTGATTGACTGGGACTGTGGTGTTGTCCTGTAATCCAGCTACTTGGAGGTCACGAATTGTGGATATTTATAACCACATGATCTGTGGATGTGATACTCCCTGGTGTGGATTAACGTCTGCACTAGTGAGTACTAGGACTAATGTATGCGGATATGTATCCGCAGTATCCTGATAATTAGACCAATGCATAAATTACAAGGCAAATGTGGTTCGGATTCCACAAACTGTAGGTCCCTTAGTTACCATTAGCTGTATGGGCTATTGCTATTAATTAACAGTCCTGCCTAAGGAACATGTCGGCCTTAGTCAGTAACAAGACGAGCCACTCATCCTACACTCATCTCCATTCATACTTGGTTTAAAATACCTTCCTTCATATGGTCGCCATTTCAATTAAAAGTATTGCCATATTTATTTATTCTGTAGAACCTATGTTTATTGTACATTGTAAAGAAAATATATAAACAGAAAAAATTGCAAGAAGTATGATTATTTTCTATTATAATAGTTATTATGTGTGGCCTTGGTTGACTTTTTAATTTTGTCTTGTATGATAAATGATATTCACACTTTCTATATCCATACTCATTGTTTGTTTTCAGAATGGGTTCTGTTCTGATGGCTCAGTTGATCACAAGAACGACTCGTTACTTCATGAGAAGATCGCAGATCTCGAGCGCCAGGTAACTACGCTAGTCGCTGCTGTTAGGTCAGGTTAGGCTCTCTTACTACCCCCTTTTACCACCCCGCATGCAATTTGTTGTGTTCTCTGTTATGCAGTATTATCTTTTCAAAAGTAAAGCCCTTCAAGTCTGCACGGGGTTCAGTAGATTTATTTTTACATTTATGGGAGGTAAAGAGCCTATCCTGTAAATATATTTATTTATCTTTATTTTTAAATGTTATCTTCTTCTAACAAATGTAGGCTATTTATTTTTATATATTATTTTGTATATAGTATATTGTATATCTTATTTTGTATATCTCATTTATTTTTTACAAAATATGTTTATAAAAGGTATTATCTAATCACAGTGTGTGGGTATATACCTATTAAAATATTAAACTACTAGAGCTTGCCCCGTGGTCGAAAACTCGATCAAAAGTATGTATTGTGCAAACTTTTCTCTTTTCACCCCATGCTGTATTTAAAGCATGTGGTTGGAAATTCTTCCATTTGTTTTGATATTATGTTTATATTTGTTAAAAGTGTCGGTGTTATTTCGTCACCAACATGGCAACCCATAAGGCCCATGATAATCTTTTTTAAATTTTAAATTTATTTGTTGTGCTTATTTTGAGCCTATTTTAATTTACAAAGAGATTCTGCACATCTACAGGAAAATATCTGTCTAACAGTATGCGTTGTATTTTCCCTGCGAAGCCCAGGAGCTGAGAAAAAAGGTTTTCAATAAACATGCTTGTCTATTACCCCTAATATGTAGAATTAGCCCCATGTTAAATCTCCATAAGAAAAGTTGAATTTCCATTTTTGAACCAATTAACATAAAGATTCTCAAAATACAAATGAAATCTGCACATAGGACCGATAACCTTTCTTTGGGTTCAACCTGCAAGCAATTCGGTCCACAACCCGTGTGTAATTTGGTCCAGTAGTATGGTCAGGCTAGCTGTAATAAGTTTTGCAAAAGTTTTATAATATATAAGATAAAAAATATCAGTTTATCTGGACCTCAATCATACAGATCCTCTTAGTACACTTAAGTACAGATAACTCAAAGAGATGTTAGGTATAGAGGACACTTTCAATGGTACAATTAAGACCAGTCTGGCACTAGTCGCTGGTATCTAGGGGAAAGTCCAACGCTGCCTTCCTCGCACTCATGTACTACAACACTCACGGTGGAGGAAGACCCTGTGTCCAGTGTTGTAGGAATTTCCGCACAGTGCCACTCAAAAGATACAAAACTTATCTCATCCTACACAAATTCATTATCTGGCTATTAGTATTTCACTCTAGCTCAATGTCATGTCTGGAAGATAATTTTTCTCTCCAGCTAATCTGAGCTATTTGTCTGGCAGGGAATGTTACTCTAACTAATGTCAGTTGTCTGTCCTTAGAAGGTGTTGTTTCTCTAGCTAATGTGAGCCATTTGCCTAGAAGGGAATGTTGCTGTAGCTAATTAGAGTTGTCTGTCCTTGGAAGGTGTTGTTTCTCTAGTTAATGTGAGCTATTTGTCTGGCAGGGAATGTTGCTGTAGCTAATGTGAGGTCTCTGTCCTTAGAAGGTGTTGTTTCTCTAGCTAATGTGAGCTATTTGTCTGCAAGGAATGTTACTGTAGCTAATGTGAGTTATATGTCCTTGGAAGGTGTTGTTTCTTTAGCTGATGTGAGCTATTTGTCTGGCAGGGAAGGTTGCTGTAGCTAATGTGAGGTGTCTGTCCTTGGAAGGTGTTGTTTCTTTAGCTAATGTGAGCTATTTGTCTGGCAGGGAATGTTGCTGAAGCTAATGTGAGGTGTCTGTCCTTGGAAAGTGTTGTTTCTTTAGCTAATGTGAGCTATTTGTCTGGCAGAGAAGGTTGCTGTAGCTAATATGAGGTGTCTGTCCTTCAAAGGTGTTATTTCTCTAGCTAAAGTGAGCTATTTGTCTGGCACGGAATGTTTCTGTAGCTAATGTGAGGTGTCTGTCCTTGAAAGGTGTTGTTTCTCTAGCTAATGTGAGCTATTTGTCTGGCAGGGAATGTTGCTGTAGCTAATTTGATGTGTCTGTCCTTGGAAGGTGTAGTTTCTCTAGCTAATGTGATCTATTTGTCTGGCAGGGAATGTTGCTGTAGCTAATTTGATGTGTCTGTCCTTGAAAGGTGTTGTTTCTCTAGCTAATGTGAGCTATTTGTCTTGCAGGGAATGTTGCTGTAGCTAATGTAAGGAAGGGGTTGTTTCTCTAGCTAATGTGAGCTATTTGTCTGGCAGGGAATGTTGCTGTAGCTAATGTGAGGTGTCTGTCCTTGGAAGGTGTTGTTTCTCTAGCTAATGTGAGCTATTTGTCTGGCAGAGAATGTTGCTGTAGCTAATGTCAGGTGTATGTCCTTGGAAGGTGTTGTTTCTCTAGCTAAAGTGAGCTATTTGTCTGTCAGGTGGTGTTTCTCCAGTCTCAGAAGGAGGAGGCAGAGAGGACGATCCGCCAACTACAAGCATCACATCCTCCTCCGCCTGAGCACCGAGGGACAGTCGACACATGCAACGCCGCCACCCAGACAGAGAGAGTCAGTATACATATACACAACTGTAACTATTAAAGTTATGACTAAAAATAAGTTTTACTTTACCTCTGTGAAATAGTTCAATGATTATTCAGTTGAATTAGCTTGAAATGCTAATGCTGTAATTAATGCTGTATTAAATCAGTAATGATTAAACTGAATGACTGTTGATTAATTGATTTAAACCTATTTGTATGTTAACAAATTGTCCAGGGGCTAAACATTTGAGCTGTTGATAAGATTATGCTTAAAAACATTTCTGCCAAAAATGTAAAAATTATAAATCTTACCATACTTATATACTTATATTTTTTTATTGTATGGTTGGCAACAAAGTATTTTGGAAGATTTGCCTGACAATAATTGTATGGCTTGTTTGTTGTCAAGGATGTGTTGGTCAATCATTATGTTATAGTTTATGTTTATTATTTCAGATAAGGCCGTTGTCGACAGGTCCCATCCTATCAACCCAACCTGACTCTGCTGGTGGTTCCTTAGTTAGGTCAGTATTCAATCAATTTTCAAAGCTATGAAATAAGACAATAACTATCAATGTATTTAATTTTTAACAAAATATTTTAAGTCTCCACGTACATTTCCCCATTACCCACAATGAGTGGCTGGCTGATTGTAGATAATCAAAATTGGGGCTAATGATAACCCAAGAAACCTCTAACATTGAGTTTGAATGTAGTATTGTTAATCGTATATACATGTTTAGGTAGTAAAAAAAAACATGTTAAACACAGTGTAGATGACTTTCAATTTTATTTCACATACCTCTAATTACAAAACAAATAATATTGGAAAGCCCATGTATAGGACTAGTAATAACAAAAATTAAAGTACCTTACACATGAAATGTAGCTTATTAACTCATCTATTGCCAGATGTGACTTATTGGTGATCGGTGTACTCTACAGTCGGCCTTCAAGATGTGGGGGGGGGGGCGGGGGGGTCATGCTAAACATCTTGGCTGTCGTTCAACATAGATTTAACTTGTATAATATTTTCTTATATTTTGATTTCGATATTGTGCTTGATTTATTTGTGTGTTTAATTTATTTGTGGATAATCGGGAGTCTAATGTATGATTAATATCATTATAACTTCTTGGCCATGCATGTACATTGTCAACATTATATTATGTTAATAGTACATGCAGCATTTTTAACAAAATAGCTCTTCACAATGTATGCTACAATATAAACTATACTAATACTACGCATACATTACATAAACAAGGATATTTTATTTTGTAATCAGTAGAAGTATAAAATTGTGGTTTGGTCTAATTAAAATACAACAATTCATTTTCTAATCATTTTAAAATGCGTCCTGTTTTGTCATATTAAAGAAAACTACTTAGATTATCATATTGAAATAGTTGCATGAGCTATAATTTAATTTACACTTTAGATTTGAAATTTGCAGATACCGCTATATTCCTCATGTATATTTTACTTACCTATGTTTTTCTCCATGCTGCCTCCAGTTTCAGGCTTGGCAAGGTAAACTGCCTAGACATGTTAATTACTTGTTTTATACTGATAGCTTTTGATGTATTTTGTCTAATTCAACTTGCTCCTATCTCAAGGTAGTTCACATCCGTTGTAACTCACAAGACTATAAATGTTATTGTACCTTGTACCAGTGTAGGAATATCAAAACATGTCGTCTGTAATCCTTCACATTTCTTAGTCACATATAACTAGAGAAAACCAACATCCCCGGTGTAAACTGAGCATAAGCCATCCAACAACCAAATAGAAATTCTTTGAAAAACAGGGTAAATGACACTAGTTAGGACTCCTATTTTTACAGCTTTTCTTCTTAAACTTTATTCCTGTCATTGTAAGAGTTATATCTTATATCAAATGTGTAAAATACATTAGAGTGCAAATTAGTTTCACGATATGAGAAATTAAAAGCAAAAAAGGAGCTAATCATGTACCGTACTTTAATTATATTTCACGAGTTTGACCTAGGCCCCTATTAGACGAGGTAGCCTGGCGACGTCGCCAGCGACCAAACTGGCTACTCAGCTTGTCAAGGGGCATTGATTCTTATGGATGTTATTACACGAGGGTAGCCAGCGACGCAGCCACACTTTGGCGACCGACTGGCTACCGAGCAACGTCGCCACTGCGGTAGCCACTGGCTACCCATATTGGCGACGCTGCGTTGTAGCATATGGAGCTTATTACACTAGGTCGCCAGTATCACGTCGCCACTCGGTCAGTTCATATCACGGGAATACTTGCACACTGTTGTGTTGCGTTCTGTTATGTTGTGAGTGGGTGAATTGTTCACTTCAGTTGATAAAATGTCTACATCTGATTCAGTTGAAGGGATACGCGAAGATATGAAGAAAAAAGAAGAACCTCCGAAAGGCGAACAAAAGAAAGAATCAAAGAATCAAAAAGGGTGTAATATAACCCTTTCGATTCTCTTGCACTAAGCATTGGATGAACGTATATGTCTCTCTTCCTTTGCCTCCTTTTCTTCAGAAGTAACAGAAGGAGAAGATACTTATAATCACTCATTATTCACTGTAAACATACCGCTCATAACAAGTACAAGTACAAGACAAGCACTCACAACAAAATGAGTAACGGCGGTAAAATTCTAGCTACTCAACTGGCTACTAGGTTTGGTGTCGCTGGCGACGTCGCCAGGCTACCTCGTCTAATAGGGGCCCTAATTTCAAGTATCTAGTCATAATACATGATGGTTTATGTTAGTGTTTAGTGATATTAAATACTTTTGGTTTATTTTATGTAGCTTTGCTTCAGATAAAAGTAAAAAAATAAAATAAAATAAAATAGGAGGTAGTTTGATAATATGTATCCCCAAACATTGAAGGCTATATACAGTGTTTAAGTAGTGTTATTATCGATATCCTTTGTTGAAACAACCCGCGACCAATGCCATCCTTTCAGTCCTGCCACAAATATGACATAAAGGGCCTATTTTTACCCGTGTATGGTTAAAATATTACTGAGGTAACTATTTTTCTAAAGGCATGGCTGCTAGCTTGTGTACGTCAGAAGTAATCAATGAATATTTTTTCACAAGAAATGAAGTCATTATTTGGTGCTAGACGTAAAGAGGAAATAGTATTTTTGATAAAGCAGAGGCAAGTCTTTCAATGTGTTAAAATCTTAAACATTTAATATGAGTTTATGTGCTAGCTTTTTCTATTGATTGAACTTGAGGTTCCATCCATGTTTAAGTTGTCGCCAGTTTTAAAAATCAAAATGGACATAGTTCAAGTGAGACACAGATTTTAATTACTAATTTCTGAGGAATATGCACTAGGCAGACTTTTTTACTAAGAAAAACTTGTAGGATGACCTTATTGTATGTGATAAAGCAAATTTTATATCACATAAACTATGTCAGTTACAACAAATAACGTACAATATAGATTTTTAGACACTAGTGCTATGTGTGGCGAGCTCATACAACCATGTTGTTTTTTAATCAAAAGCTGGCGACAGATGATCCACATAGATGGGATGTCTACTTCAGTATCCTTTAGTCAACAATCGTGCTAATAATTGTAATAATGCTAATAACAATAATTGTGCTATCTATGTAATAGGGCTTTTTGAATTTTTCTATTGATTGATCAAATTCATTACCCATTGAGTTAACTACCCATTGTAAATCAATATATTTACAGTAGTACTTAAGTGGTTTTTATCTGTTATAAATTTATTAATGGAAGGAATCTCATGTTTGTCGTATAACTTACTGTAACAGCATTGATGTGGTTGTGGCCTTTACTTTGAGTAGTTAAAATTTAGTGTTCGTCTTCCAGCATGCATATCGTCTTCTAAATTATGTTTTCATATGAAAGTTGTGTGTATTAAGGGGGCCAAAAAGTTTTATTAAAATATCTTAATTTGCCCTTTTATTGTTTTCCATTTTAGTTGGAGTTTCTTTCCAAATAAATACAAGGCTGGATTGTAAATGTGAATTAAATGCTTATAAAATTTAAATTAATAATTTTGCAATTAGCAACATAGGTTGAGTTAAGTATCAAATTAAAGGTCTCCGTTGGTAAAATATAATGCCACAAACCCAAACTCAAACGGACAACGGAGTCAAAATTGACAGCTGTTCAAATATTCCTTGAATTTCCAATGCTTACTGTTAGCCACCCGCTAGAAGTCGGATGAAAATCATAAACGTAAGCATAGGTCGATATGCACATCACATTATAGGTCTTTGTTAGTAGAATAAAATGCCACAAATTTTAGCTAAAAAAATCAGCTAGGTAAAAAATGGCAGCTGTTCAAATATTCAAAATGGCAGATTGAAGAAATATTTGAAAGGCTGCCATTTTTTGCCCGGCTGATCTTTTGATCTCAAATTTGCGGCAAGTATTCTACTAAGAAATTTAATTTGATGTGCATATCGACCTATGCTTAGGTTTATGATTTTCATCCGACTTCTAACGGGTGCCTAACAGTAAGCATTGGAAATTCAAGGAATATTTGAACAGCTGTCAATTTTGACTCCATTGTCCGTTTGAGTTCGGATTTTTGGCATTGTATTTTACTAACAGAGACCTTTAATTTGACACCAAACTCAACCTATGCTGCTATTTGAGAATTTGTCTGACACCTTGTGTACCGTCCCCCAAACGGGTTATCCGGTCGGTAATTGAGCAGATGTGTGCGTTACTATAACCAGTAAGCACGTATGAACTTTAGATTTTTTTTCTATTGTGGGTTAAAAATTAAAAAGAGGTTCCAGAATTAATTGTCACCCTGTATGTAACTCACTGTTAGGCCCATCTTGACATGATCTCAAATAAATTTTCAATGGAGTTGTATTCTGGATTTTACGATATAAATATTAAAATAATTCAAGAAATTCCAAATTTTTCCATCATATAATAAATAATGTTAATCTTGGATCTTAGTGCTCTTGTTTGATCTATTTTCCAAACACACATGTAATATACATTGGGGTGGACTGCAGTTTATTTAAAATGTTGGGGTTTGCAAAATGACAAGGACCTTAAATGTTTCATGCTGCATTATCAGACATTTGGTGTAAGTATTCATCTATGAAAGAAAAAGAGTTCAATTTAACCGAATATTTATCTACAAGTATTTATCTGTCTGTTGTGTTTATTAGAATGTAAATCAATATTGTTTTGTTTATTTATCTTTTAATCTGCTGTTAGCAATAGTGTAAGAATCAGATAGGCTATTAAATTCTTTACATTATTATTCTGCAAGCTATTTGGTAAGCTGATTATAAACCTAAATTGCTTCATACACTTTTTTAATTTGCAGATTTCACTGAAGTCACTGCCTTGCTTCTTATTTATGTTCATTGGAAATTCTTAAAACCTCCTGGCTCAAATCTTGTGGGATGATTTACACTTTTATTTCTAACGGGACTAAAAATATATCAATACAACTCACAATTAATTCTCTAGCAATGGTCATTATTGCTCTCAATGTACGGTACAAATGCAACTATGATTTCTGCAATTGTTATTTTTTGTGGAATAGTCAAACTTTTCAATTTATAAAGATACCATGTTAAAAAAAATAAGATTTAGTTAATGTAGCCTATTTGGTATAGAAGTAAAAGTGTATTTAGAATACACAATTCGAGACAAAGTAGGTTTTGTGTAAATAGTGTATAGTTAAGATGTAGCTATAATGTAATGTATTGATATTTACTTCCATTTCATACCTTATTCTTCTTTCAAACTAAAAATCCAAACTTAAGAAAGTGAATTATATAGTTTTGATTTTCTTGGAAGTATTAGGGTTTAACAAAAACACAAACCATTAATTTTTAGAATCACATACTTAACCACAACTATTAGCTATAAAGTAATTAAACCAGGTTATTTTCCATTATGATAAAAATTTAATTGAGATATTTATAGGCAAATGACATATATTTCATTTACGTTATTCTCCTATGATTCTGCAATTTTATATTATTAGACACAAAGATCATTAAGAACAAAAAGTAAAATGCATGCAATTCAGTAGCAAGGCATGTTGAAATGAAATAGCCAACTAGAATTGTTAGGTTAAAAGCTTCGTTATTTGTTTTAGGGTGGTGAAAATCCCAGAAAAGCTGAATTTTTAATCTAAAATGTTGGTAGGTTTCCAAAATGTAAATACAATATATGTGTTTAATTTTTTATTTTTGAATGATTTTATTATTGTTTTATGTTATTTAGAATCATATAATTTACTGCACTAAAATCCATAAAAAGTGGTTCTTAAAATTTATAATTTTTTAGCAGTAAAATTGAAAAAAATATTGTTGATGACTTATTCAAGATAAATATTTTTGTTAAACTTTTGCATGTTAGGTTGGATAAAATGTAATATAAAAGGCTAAACCCATTATAGTAAACTTAATTTTATAAAAAAAAATATATGTATATGATTGTGAATATTAATCATTAATCATTAATGAATAAGCAGAATCGTTAAACGCTCCCTATTGATTAATCAAATTGAAATGTAATAAAAGCACAGTTAGTTGTTTATGGGGATTCACATATTGTTTTACTATGTTTTAGAACACAACCTAGAAAATAACATTTGTAATTAAGGGATTTTTACCATAGAGTGTGTTAGTACTGTCTTATGTAGCTATCCTGTCTTAGCTTTTTCAATTTTTAGTACATTAAATAGAATAGTTAAATTATTTAAGTTCACCTTCTTTCAAACCTAAGAATTAATTAGATGTGGTTGAAATCTAATTCGAACTTTAATACATGTTGAAACATCCATTTTAAACTTAATTTTGAAATGTATTTCTGGAGTCTTACAAAAGCTGTTCAGTAGAGAGTAACGTTAAACAAGAACTAACAAACAATATCATATATTCAAATAATTTATGAATACAACAATTCCTTTATTTGGTCAATGAAATTCAAAGATAGAACTAAAATAAATTCAATAAGTAATGTAGTAGCATTAATAGAACAAAAAATACATACTGTATCTTATTTTTATCAAAACATAAGAAGACGATATTTGTGTTAAGTTTCACTTTGCTGCTTAGTCAATAAAATATAATATCAACTTAATCCCTCCTCATTACGCAATGAGTATTTGCTGGACCAAGCTCAAGCCGGATGTACTCGATAAAATATTTTATTACATGTGCTGTTTTGTAGATAAACATTTTTAGAAATGATTGAATATTTGTTTTGTAGTACTATAACAAATTAGGTTGTATTAAGGGGATATGCCTCCTTCTAAGACTTTTTTACAATTATTTATTTTAAATGGCTTTTGTGGGTTTATTCTGTTTCTATTTCACCAAATTAGAGGATTTATATATAGGAAAAATGTTATCCAAATCAATTTTTGGTCACTTTGGGGTAAATTTCAAAATTTTAAGAATTTTTTTAAAAAATTTCAGTTTTGAATAACTTTTTTGTTTATCAACATAATGTAAAAAAGTAAACATATTTTACTTTCCCACATAACAATATTTCTGTGTATTGAAACTATGGTAACTCAACAAATACAGCTTTAGTAGACCTTTTTACAATAATATGAAAAATGTTACACGAAAAGATCAGATTTTTAATGTAAAACATAAAATTTTATAGGAATAAATAATTGCAGGATGTTCTCTATACACACAAACCTTCTAAATACTATTAAGAACGTCTGGTTAAAATTTCATTGAAAAATAATAAGTAGTTTTAAAGTTATTCAAACTTACGTAAATGTAGTAAATGAAAAACGTAGTTTTGAGAAAACGCCGTTTAAAGTTTTCATTCTACTTATTGTTGCTAGGCGCAACGTCTTCAATTTTATTATAAAAATCACTGAAAAAATTCTCCAAATCAAATAAAACTTTGCATACATGTTCAGTAATAATTAAGGAATAAAAATTTGTCACTTTTGAAAAAAGTCAAAATATTTTATAAAAAGGCCTATAGATGGAGGCACATCCCCTTAAGCATGATCATTTATACAATAAGTTATTATTTCTTAAGAGATTCCTATTTTGGGGTTTAATTAATTTTGTTTTAATTTATTAATTTAGGGTGTTTAATTTATGCCAAAACACATGAACCCTGTATGGCATCCACATAGAATAGTGTAATTTTTTCTTGGGTTTTTTGTTGCTGATGCAATAGGTTTTTGTCATGTGATATTGCACTCAGTTAACACCAGAAAATCAAGTACTTAGGAATTGTATGCCTATTAGTATTGTTCAGGTGTGTTAAAGTAGTAGTATATAAGGTTCAAGATATTAACGCCAAAGTTGAGTGCCTGCTCTAATGCATCAGTTGTTAAACATAGTTGAGTCCTATGCAGTAAGGTTTAAAGTATGCTCGTTTAAATTAAAACCTGGTGAATTTGAATTCAAACAATCACTTTGCACTTTCTTGTAGGGCCATGATACAGGATCGGATTCATAGCTAATATTCGCTTAAATGAGTGCTTTTCAGGCCATACAACTGGTTATATCTGATTATGCTTCTTTGTCTATGTCTGTTTGGTCATCTGTTCATGCAATGGTTTCCTTCTTCATTACCGCATTTACCTATTGTCACTTGACTTCATGTAACCTTCCCATAACAATTCTGTCTGTTTCTGTTAATGTGTACTTTTCCTGTCTTGTCCATTTCCTTTTATGTCTAGTGTTTACGAACATGTATGTTTAGTCAGTTCAAATTATCAGTGAAATCAAAATACTTTAAGATCATTGTCACCCTTTTTTATATTAATCTGTCCTCTATAAATGCTTAATCATAACAATTTGCTCCACCTACTAACTGTTAACAAACAAGGACAGATTTACTTAGGTAGTAGTATTTTTGCCTCACTAGAGCGTGTTTTTCATAAACGTCTGTTTATTTGCAGCAATGCGAGTGACTCAACACGTCAAGTAACACAAATCCTCCAACCGCGGCCGGTGAGTCGTCTGCCGCAGTGGCGACGCCCCTCCAGCCCCTCCTCCGATCTTCACCGAACACTCAACAAAAAAACGTAACAATAACTTAACTATCCACGGAAAACATCAGCTTTACTATTCTCAATAATTTTGTTCTAAGAGCAAAAAAATATTTGTAAGATCTTTACTTTCTATTCCACTTATTGACACCATGTGTTAAGTTCTTGTAAATGATTCAGAATAAACAATCATCAATTGTAGCTTGTTAATGTTTATGTTATTTTTTGTTAGGAGGAAATAGATTGTTATGTAACTTTATACGGCATAATAGGTTGTTATTCAATATTCCTTTAGATGACAATGTGATATGCAGGAATAAAAGTAAAAGGAATATTTTCGAGTGTATATTTTTGTAGATGTTTTTTCAATTATTCTTTAGAATGAGTGTGCAATATTTTTTTTCTATTAGCATAAGTGCTATTTTGTAACTACAGTTTTTAAACTTAACACATTGGTTACCACTTCAAAATACATTCAACCTATACCAAAATAAATACAAAACGTGGTAAAAGGTCCATATTACTTTTCTTTCACCATTTTTTGTATATATTTACTCCTGTGTGTGTAAGTACAGTATTATAGTTTGAATGTGTTTGAAGTGGTATAAAATGTTTTTGTTTGAAAGCTGTCTTTAATTTTGTATCCTGGATGTTCCTTGAAATATGTTTATAATCTGATCTCTGAAAAAGAAATTAGCGGTCATTAACTTTTATTGTTTACACGAGTCAAGTATATTGTAATGTAAATAAAGATCTAGGAAAACTCATTGTAGGCTACACTGATAATCTCTTTTTTTATTTGTGTGTTAGTAGCAGAAATTAATTTAAAAAATACAATATATTTTTTGTGTAAAATTTACAATTTACTAAAATATTATTTTGATTTGTTTTGTAAGAGACATAAGGAGAACACAATGAAGAAAATAGTTTACACTATGTTTTAATTAATTATCACGTAAAAGCTTCTTTTTTTTTTCTTAAATGTACAACAATGTATATTTTTTAACTTTTCTAACTTGCAGCATAATTTGTTTTACCAGTATAACAACAATAGTAAGAAAATGTTTTGTTTATAATAATTAGTTATTTTTCTTAACAATTAAAAACGTATTTGAAAAATGTATGAGCACAATAAATTGTTATTGATTCTTGTGAATTCCATGAACTTATTCCTCCATAGCCTACATTTAATTTGAAACAACTGTATGTAATATATCAGAAGGGTAGTTATGTCCCTTGGCTGTGCCTGGTAGTGTAGTTTGTATCTTTTAGTTGTTTAAGTTGTGTTTTAATACTTAATGTGTATATTTCATTTTGTACTTTTTGTATGATTTAAAAAATCTGGTGATATGTAATTCGTGTTATTTATTTCTTTTTGAATTTGTGAATAAAACATATGGTTTAGAAACTATTTATTGTTTTTTAACTTCCTCAAACATTTATCTTTAGAGTACATTAGGTACCAGTCTGGTAATTATATCGACCTCCGGACCTGTGAAAATGTCCAAAATTTTACACAAAAATGATTGCGTTTTTCTCGGAAACGACCCGCTTACTCAGAAAATCGGAAAAACCCTAAAAACTCATTTTTTACAGGAAATGGCATTGTGGGTACTCAAATTAACCGGTAGAGCAAGCTGAACAAGAATATGCAAGAGTTGCCAAAATCCGATTGGATATTAACGGATACGGTCGGAAAACAAAAAGAGAAATCCACGTAAATCGTTCAAGTGGGTTTTTAAATTAGTTGGAAAATCTAGTAAGCGCCAAAATGACCAAAACTAGTTTGGGTTAGGTTAGGTTGGGTTCGATTAGATTACGTTGGGTTCGATTAGGTAGGGTTAGGTTACCAATAACATGGGTATTGATATCAATAATGGGTATCCACTCATCATACACTCATCTCCATTCATACTTGGCTTAAAATATCTACTTTGTATGGTCACCACTTCAAATAAAAGTATTAAGTATTAGTAACGTTAGTAACCTAACCCCCCCTAACCTAACCCAACCCAACCTAACCTAACCTATAACAACCTTGTCTAACCCAACCTAGTAACCCAACCTAACTTAACCTAGTTCTAGCCAATTTGGTGCTAACTAGATTTTCCACTTTCCGGCCGTATCTCCGTTAATATCCATTTGATCTAGGGCGTGTGTCACTTGGCCAGTGGCATTCGTCTGCTCGGGTTCGAATCCCGTCCTGTGTGGCAAATAATTGGTGACCTGTGTGTTTGTAGCGATATACTACAACCACTGGGGCATAGTGAGGTGTTCATAATTCTTGGTTTAGACATACACCTCGAATTCATCGGATTGGGCGAATCTTTTAGCTAAGTGGTTGGTAGTGTATCCTATGAACATGCAGGTCACCAATGGCCGTTTTGCTATTTTTTTTTATATAACCTTCCTCTCTATATCCCTTAGGGTTTTTTTTTAAAACAACGATATATCATTTCATAGCACTGAAAGGGTTAAATGATTTACATGGAATAACTATACAAGCAAATTAACACATCAACATAAAAACAGTGCAAAATTGTTTTTCTCCTTTTTGGACTAAATTATCCCTTGAATATGACTGGGTATACAAAATACCTTCCTTACATCTTGGTTTAACCCAAAAGTGGAAACTTGGTATTATTCTATAAGTGTATTGGAAAATCAGAATGTGATTATTTGTATGATGCTTTACTGTAAATAAACAGCAAACGGTGATATTTTAGACTTGATTAATTGTTTTAGTGAATTTCCCATATAGGGTATAAGCTATTACTGTAGGTCTCGTGGTAAGACCTGGACTTGGGACCGATTTACTTTTTCGTTTTGATGTTCCCAAAGGCCAAAAAAAGCATCCGCACAAATTCATACATAAAAATATATGTATGTGAGTGAAAATTTAAAAACGTACGTTTTCATGTCCCTGGCCTTTTACTTCGTAGATACTGGATTTGTAGTTTATTATTATGTGTTTTAATATTTTTTGGGACGGGGGCAGCATATTACACACATTTATTTGGTTTTAAATAGGTTCTAGGTATTTTTTTCGTATTTTTAAAGTCTCGAAATTCACGACCATGACGTGTCCCTAGGGTACATTTTCCAACTTTCACACTGTTTTTAGACTAATTATTCATGCCTAAATATATAAAGCCATATTTTTATGTCATCGATGGTTATTAAACTTACAAAAAAGGAGCATATTATAATTTTATTGTCATTGAAAACTGACTACCATGACAAAATAAGTCTGTCCCTCGATTTGGCGTCACGACCATTTGGGAAAAATTTTCAACTTTGGAGCACGACAGTGGCAAGCCTGGCGTCGATGAAGTCAGTTGGTTTTAGAGAATAGTTCGGGGTGTACGTCAAGATTGTAGTGCCGGTCGTTTTGAGTTGAAAGGAGGAATTACAAGATTTACAAAGGAAAGATTGTGTTTTTTGTAATTTTGGTGTGTCCATGACCGTACGTAGTCATTCGATGAAGTAGACATGGTGTTAATTTTTGTTTATAAGATTTTTCTTTTGCTAGATTAACCTAGAAGTCCACTTTGTATCCTCGAACATGAGGTGCAGGGCTACCGCCAGAACAGAGCCAAATAACACGTAATTTCACGACCAAAGTTTCACGACCATCGCGGGTTTTTTCACGACCAATCCAGCCTTATGGATTATAGTGTGTTTGGTCGTGACAATAACTTTAATATAATTGTAAATTGAACAGTTTAGTTCAATTGAAACACATAGTTTTATTATAACTAACAGTGTAATTGAAGGATTGTTTAGAAAGATTTAGATTATTCCAGACAATTCACGACCGTACCGCTTGTCCCTGACCATCACGTTTATGATTTCTATCATAAAAATTTCAAAAATTAAAATATCGTCATATTTTAATGTTTTATACACAAAAGAAGCACACCTCTATACAAACATAACGATTTTTCGGGTCTCAGGTAAGTTTTTTCGGAGTTATACAAACTTAAAAAGATTTTATTGGCTTTTTTCTATTTTTTTAGTTTTTTATTTTTTTCTGGAAAGACCAAATATACCAAAAGCTCAGTGACCTTTTTATTGTATAATGGTCATAAAAGTAAATTAGTTTATAGCAAAACATAGTTATAAAAATAATATTAACTATTTTTAATATTCATTTAAACGTCCGTTATGGTCGTGACAGGATTTTGTGTTTTTCCACTAAAGATGCTCTTTAAAAAAAACTACCAAAGATATTGCGTTACCATGGCCATTTTATGAAACTTCAATTGTTAATGAAATAAAAAAAATAATAAAAGTTTTGAAAAAAGGGGAAAAAAATTTGCTAAGTGCTTTTCCTGAAAACGTACGTTTTTAAATTTTCACTCATGTATGTGTAAATGTCCGCTAGCACAATAACTTGAGCAAAAATCATCCAATTTTGAAGAAATCTATTACAAACCTACATTTATTTAAAAGGGTCTGGTTTGCTAACCACCCTGATCGGACCATGGGAACGGTGTTTTATTGGGTGAAAATTGGGTTTTCTCATTTTTGACCCTCAAAAGGTAAAGTTTTCTAATATTTTTCGTTCATCCATATTATTTTGAAAAAATTAATTAAAAACAAATAGTAAAAAATAAAAAAAAATATTTATTTGAAAAATTACAAAATCTTGCAACATTTTATAAACATCTTGCTGCAAAAGCCTGGAAAATTTAGCTTGTCTGCAGCCCATAGAGAAAAACTAGTTGTTGATACAATGTACCGGTACTTTGTCTCTTGGTTGGTCCTTATCCACACTTTGGTTTTCCTTGGTTCTTGTCAAGATCTGCTATAATCTTATGTTGTTTCCACTTATACTCTACCTTTCTATAGAAGACTATAACATTAACTTTCTTTTATCAACAACTTAGTCAGTAACAAAGCTACACAGATCATCTCACTCCATTCTACACTCATCCTTCACTCATATTTGGGTTAAAATACGCACCTCTTAATGATTGATAATTGATTGATAACTTATCTTAAATAAATAAAATATAAAACAATAAATAACATGCATTAAATACTTCTCAACTTAAACAATAATATAATGATTTAGACAACAATATTCAATCAGATTTAAAATGGATAAAATGATATAACAATATAACAATACATAACTATAGTTATTTGAGTAACTAGTGAGCAAAGTGAGCAATTGCCTCACTCGAGAGAAATCCTTACTCACGAGCCGTAGGCGAGTGAGGAATGGTTTCTCGAGTGAGGCAATGGCACTTTGCACTTGAGTTGCACATTATATTTTTCCTACAGTTACCATAAAACAAATAAATTGGTAAAGAAACGTAAAATATTTTTATACAGAAGTGAACTTTTAATATGGCATTTAATTATACAACAGTACAACAGCTGACCAGCTGATTTACAGCCAGTGCCGCCAACGTATTTCGCGCGCATACGACCTTGTCTGCATGTTACGCGCTCACTATTTCGTGCCTTCACGTTGCAAATCTGGAGTGAGACAAAGTAATTAGAGTGAGACAATGTTAACATTGTCTCCCTGATGAGCGAATTAGCCACTTTGCTTTCTCAAATCAGTGAGAGAACATGTACATTGTTAGGTAACTGTAGGAAAAATAAATAATTAAATAATATATAATAACAGCAATAGTAAAACCAGTTTTAATGGATTTCTTGAGATGACAATTCTAAAATAAATAACATGCATTAAATGATTTTAACTTAAACAACATATAATAGGTAAGTAATGTAATAAACAATATTTAAATGGATTCATTGAGAAAACAACGTTAAGCCTAGATTTCAATACTCTAAAACTAGTAATATTTTCTATTTCGAACCAGAAATTTTTTAACTCTTTTTGAAAATTTGTTTGTGGTCTTAGGGACAATAAAAACTGTTTACGTAAATTGTATCTATGGTCATTTTTAATTTTAAATTCATTTGAGAAATAGCAATCTAGTAAAATTATATACTTAAATAATATATCTACTGGTAATACCTCAACTATCCTATATCCGAGCGAAGGGTTTTCTAACAAAACAGTAGAGTCAAGCTTTGCATATAATAATTTAGTAAATGAAAGGGTTTTTGCACGGTTATTAACAGAGAAAATTCAAACAATTGTAAATTTAAAATCCCATGTTAATCTTATGGAGGATAAGTAAACTGTTATAGTTTGTTTGTTTATTGATATATGTTGAACAAACTTGGAAAATGTCCTTATTACTAAACATATTTTACTAAAAACACTTTTTTACTCTCCCTTTAGCAGCAAACCATGGTACTAGCTAAACCTAAAGTGATTTAAATAGATAAAATATTGAGAATCCAACCATGCGAATGGAATTTGCTCAGTCTGCAGGTTTGATGCGGCGGGCGGGGGTATTTGTTAAATATACCAGATCTAAT